ACCGTATCAATGTGAAATAGTTTTTTCTATTGTGTTCCAAAAACGAATGACATGAATTTCGAGCAACGATGTGCTATCTATAAGATTTTGCTTCAGACTTGAGCACAGTGTAACGGAAACTCTTGCTCAACTTTAGCAGGCCCACGGAGATAGTGTTTTGTCAAAAACACAGGTTTTTCGGTGGTTTAAGACATTTTCAGAAAGGAGAAAGTCGATGGAAGATGAACCTTGAAGCGAAAAGCCTTCATTTTCAAGTACCGAAGAGAATATCGACAGAATCCAGGATCTTCAGATCGTCGGTTGACAGTCAAAATGATCGGGAAAGGGTTACATTTGACTCACGCCACCGTTCATTGGATTTTGAGCAGTGAAGTGGAGTTCAGAAAGATCTACATGACCAAAAGGACATCAAGAAGGAGAGGCGCTTTGACTTATATTATATTAATATGCAAGAACTATACGTCATGTGAAGGACAGTTCCAGCTTGAAGATCACCAAGTACAAAGGACTCTAAAATTATTGAACAACATTATAGGAACCGCAAATTTAACTGAACCTTAAAGGATAAGTTTTTCAATAACGAGATATTAGATCAGAAGCAGTCCTACTCGAAGTAACGCAAAATGAGACATTGTCCCTCATACATATCGTTCGTCCGTTGGCAAGGGACAGGATATGAAAAACAGAAGGTCTGCGAATGCGAAATGCGGGCGTAAGCTAAGAACGCGTTATCATTTTCAATTTGGACATACGCCTGGTATATATGAGTACGACGCAGCATACGCGACAATGAGATTTTAAGGGCTGAAGGGACAAGGCTTTGCTTGCGGCTGTGCTGGTCCTTAATTAAATCAGAATGAATAAACGAATAATAGGATCGATTTTCTCGGCGTGGCAAACAGTGGCGTGGGGAGTAAGCGGAGGCAAAATTCCATACCTCTATCCATAAATACAACTTCCCCGCCCTTCATCATAGGGTCAAACTCGGTTACCAAGCGCACAAGGTACATAATTACATTGAGTTTCATCAGTGGTCGACATGACATAACGCTATGCTGTTCGTATCAGAATAATTTTGAAAGTTCGATAAAATAACGGAATTTCAAGGGAAAGGGTAATAGAAGCATAGTTCGTAGACTTGTTTCTTCATAAACGTTTTTCCAATTTTAATGGTTTGCCCTCGTTTGTTTTTAAATCTTCCGTCCATTTTCTATATTTCTCTCACTAAATTTATAATCCATATTACTTATATTGCAGAACATTGGATTATTTGAGGAAAATTGTCATAAATATGAAAATTCCTTTTATGTGGTGTTAAGCTGTGTATCATTCGGAAGACCTGTACAGGATTTGGTAACCTGTGAGAGAATTGTCTTCTGATAACGTTGACATACATAAGAATAATCGTTTAAAAAAACAATTTTGTAACGTGACCCTGATAATTGCAGTTTATAAGATACAACAATTCTCAAAATTATCAGACACTCCAGCTCGACTACACCCACAGAAAAATGTATCTAAGCTCAAAAAAATATGACGAAACCTAACCGTTTATACTCGTTACACCAAAAAATCAGAATCTACAAATGATACTACAAGTATCTCAAAGTTCGCTTGAATAATCGGATAAATAAGAGTCGGATCTATGTAAACGTACGCCTCTGTTTACAAGAGAAAGGGAGCCAGTCATTTTCATTTCAGTGTTGTAATTGGAATTTAAATTCGCTTATTCGTGCGGTATAGACGGTCGTCTTATGTATTAATTTGAATAAAAATTATATAAGTCAGGATACAGGAGAGAAGGCTCGAAAAGAAAATATGATTTTGAACACCTGGCTCATATTTTAATCTCATACTGTCGTGGTGCTGCGCCCTTAGGATTATACTATGTTCTTCGAAGGTTTATGGCTAATTGGTAGAGCTGTTGAGTTTTTCGAAACTGTATTACTTTAAAATGCGGCAACAAACAAGTCTCGTGTTTTCCCATTCATGCCCAGTTTCAACGCCTTGCTAAAGTCAGCTCTAAGCTGAGCTGATGCTTATTTTCGATATGTTTGATACTTTGGAGGAACTCTATCTTAACTTAAAATGTACCTTTTTTCAACAACGAGTAAGTCAAAGTAATGTCTGAGAAGTTTGTATGTACAGTTGTATTCATAAAAAAAGCGTACACGAATTAGAATGAGAGGAAACCTTAACCTTATTTGCGTAAAACCGGCTTATCGCATGTTAAAGGTTATTAAAAATGCAAAGCATGGGCGTCGGGCATTAGTTCAATACAGTAACAAAAACGTATTTCTTTATTTTACATCTTAACAGTTTTATAAAAATTACAATAGAAACAAAAAACGATTAACAAGAATAAATAAAATCTAATATTTGGTCATATATCCCTGTTTTTCTATTACTTGAGCCAGTCTATTCGGAATTGACTGAATTATATTTGATACAATATTTGGATCAAGCTCTTCCCAGCACGCATGTATTATTTCCCATTAATCTTCTGAATTTTGTGGCCTAAAATTTCGATTATATATTTTTTTTACGATTATACCCCAAATATTTTCGATTGGATTGATATCGGGACTATAAGCGACCCAAGGCAGCACTTCCACATTATGGGTTTGAAACCAGTGGGTTACAGCATTGGCCGTATGAACTGGACAATTATCTTGTTGAAATATGAACGTATTATTGGGATATATTTGCTCAGCACTTGGTAACAATATGTTTTCTAAAATGTTAATGTAATTTCCGGCATTAAATCTTCCCTCTATTCGCCAGCAAACACCAGGTCCATGAACACTTATCCAGCCCCATACATTTACAGAGAAACGCCCAGGTCTAGAATTGCGGGGGTTAGTATATCGCTCTTCAAACCTGGTATTGTTTGGACGGTAAACACGAATTTGGCCGTTATAAGTCGACTGGAACGTCTTTTCATCAGTAAAAATGACCCTGTTCCAAAATTGAGGATTGCGGTATATATAATTTAAAGCAAAAATAATTCTTGATTGTCGCCGTTCTTCGTTAAGAAACATTTTTTTCGCAGCAGGGTGACATTTTAGATCAGATTTCATTACTCTCCTGCTGGCGGTAGGTTGGGAGGCAGGAAATGCTGTATCAATAACAGCATCCCTTACAGTTGCAAATGGATTATTTCTTAAATATCCCAAAAAAGCAGCATCCTGTTCAGGGTTGGTAAGTTTGGGACGACCTGAACCAATTTTCCTCTTTAGGGAATCTTCCTGTTCCCAGCGTTGCTTAATTTTCAATATGGTTTTTTTATTTCTATTATACAACTGCGCTACAGCACGGATTGGCCATCCTTCTTCGATTCTTGATACAATTTGAGCCTTTTCAACTTCAGACAACTGACGAGGCATTTTTATTTTCTTCTGTCGAAGTTTATCAAACGTTACCACCATGCATTTTCGAAATGAATTACACCGACGTCAATGCTTTGCATTTTTGACAATCTACGACGTGTGATAACCTCCAATAAACAATCATTTAGACAAGCCGGTTTTACGCAAATAAGGTTAAGGTTTCCTCTCATTCTAATTCGTGTACGCTTTTTTTATGAATATATTATGTGAGATACGGATATTAATATCGCAGAAATTGATGAACTTGCCAAATCGGTAATATATTGAAATGTTTTGAGGGACATTTTTCCACAGTTTGATATACTCCAAAAACATCACTGTTCGTGTTGAGTTCCTTTAAAATACCTCTCTCTATAAATGTGACATATTGGGTGTTCCATACCTTAATTTACATAGTCAAATGGTAGTATGGATCAAGTTATTAGCATTACTATTGAACCGGTTTCTCCCACTTTTATGTTTTTCAAAAAAATCAACACATTTTAAGCTGAAAATTGAAATATTTTACTATGCACAAAATATAATAGTGTTAATTACTTAGCACAATAAATTGCTTGCGTTTCCTTTGATTTCTCAGTTGGACATCTTTATTTATTCAAATATTTTATTTTTATCAGCTCATGTGGCACAAAATTCAAAATTTCGAGGATTATCAACTTGGTTTCATCAATATCTTACAAAATAACGCATAAAACTGAATAAAAGATGTTTTTGGAACTCCTGGGATAATTCCAGGGCCGGATTTTCTTTTGTCTGTTTCGTTGTAGTTTATTAAGTACCACGCTTTGTAAGTTACACTCTGAATTCATTAATATTACCCAGAAAAAGAGATATACATGATACAAATAACACGTGAAACCCTATTTACTATCATCGACAATTTTTTTAATGATTTAATTCTACAAACTGATATAGTATAACAATATGAGTTCTGTTAAAAAGGGATACGGGGTTTATTATGCGATTTTTCAAAATTGAACTTTCCAGATCAACCTGAAATTAAGTTAAAAATCCTCAAACGCGGAGTATGCTGGTGCAGACTAAACATTTCATTGTGGTGCACCATGTGTGCATTATAAAACTAAATCTGACGAAGGGTTGTGGTAAGAGAATATATACATAACTATACTGAAAATGCACCGGACCTGTATATTAGTTTTTTCTAAATTTTCATCTTAATCTTGAAATGGTATGGAGAGTCAAATTTAGTGCATTTGCATACTAAATGTCGTTTCCTCAAGGTTCATGTTGTGAAATATCAGTTGATAGAACTAAATCATTAAAAACCTATTGAAAAGAGTAGGAATGCATCACATCAATTCTTACTCACTTATATCATATATTGCTTTTGGTTTCGCGAGGTAATAATTAATTCGCAGTTTAACCTACAGGGCGTTGATAAAACACAAAGAAATAAAAAACTGCATCTGATCCTGAAATTTTGAGTTCCCAAAACATCATTTGTTCAACTTTAAATAAGTATTGATGAAACCAAGTTGATAACACCTTGAAACTTTGAGCTTTTTGACATATAAACTGCTAAAAAAATATATCTGAATATATAAAAATGTTTAACTGAAAAATCAAAAGAGGAACATTAAAATTCATTACCACCATTTATTGACCATTTTTGTACATAGTCAAACATTTTTTAGTGTTTTGCTTAGAAGCTGCTGATTTTCATAAGAAAACAAAAAAGTAAAGAAGTCGTGTCCGGTCCTGGTTTTTACAGCCGTCCGTCTAACTTTACGATACTCCTAAGTAACTTGTCGTGCAAAACGTCATTTCAATAGTGCCTCCGACATATAATAATAACTTGGCGTGTTTGGATAAATCACAGTGTACATCCGTAGAAACTAAAATTAGATTATTTTATTTTTGGGTTTGGAAATGTTCATGCTATCTACCATTTCACTGTGTTCATATAAGCGCAAATCTCCCTCTATGACCAAGTCAATCAACTGCGTCGTAGTTGCAGACATAAGATTCTCCGCGAAAAAAGTATCGAGATTTCTTATTTTGTTACTGTTAAACCGATTTTTATGAGCCATACTTCACTAGACAGCTAAAAATTGTATCAAAAATAAACAAATGTCAAAAATTGAAGTTGGCGGCACTATACAGGTCGTCCCTAAAAGGTCATTAAAAATTGTAGCACATATCCCTGAGTTTAATATAAGCCGATTTGAAGTAACTTACCTTAGTCAAAAATTGTTCCGATTCCGAGATACAGGATAGCAAAGTAAGAAAATAAAAATCCTTTTTTTGAGTTCATGAAAATTTCTTGACAGGTCACTTTAAACATTGGTATTCGGGGTTGTTTTGTGATCCGAAACCCGAATATTGACATTTTTTTATTGTGGCCGTTAGGGGGGCTCCACACTGCACTTCGGTTCGTTTTAAATGGCCATAACTTTTTTCTCATTGTAGTTTTTTCTTTTTTTTTTATTAAAAAAGCAATGTCGCCGATATTTTTAAGCAAAAAAGGCACTCCCGTTAAAATAGACTATGGTGACGAGTTTTCGAGACATTCGCAAATTTCTGCATCAATGCAGGTTGTGGGGACCCTGAATCAAAATGCTCAGAACTTTACAAAAACTGAATATGTGATAGATTCAAAATGAACAGTTTTTTTCCTATAATAAAGATGTGAATCGAATTTATTAAATATAGTTGTAGTCTCAAAAAACTTCTGGGACCTTCTGGGAAAATAATATGAATAAAATTAATATATTAAAAGATATCATCACAAGATAAAGTTTAAATGCAATATAATTTTTGCAGAAACAGACTAAGATTAATTTTTACAAATCAAAACCCAACCTATCAAAAGTGGAAATGGTAAATAAACGTTTAAAGTGTAACTAAATAAATAAAAATGTTATTTCGCTTGTTGAATGTCTAGAAACTAGTGAACGAGTTCTCAATTGTTTACCACTTTTACCAAGGCTCTGAGCATTCTTCACTAGCCTTCCAAAAGTTCTTGTTGATTCCTGCTCTGAGGTACCAATGGTTTTCTTGGAAGGCGGAAATTCTTGGTTCACCAAGCCTCATTTTTCTTTACAAAAAACTTCTTATCCCTATGACTAGGTATCCATCTAATTTCCACATTTTTTATAAAATTCATGATATGTTTGTTTCTACATTAATGTTTTTGGGGTGTAAAAAATATAACTTAGGCGTTTTTAACAGTTGTTCCCCCTTTTCGATTCTATTCAAATACCACTCGTTCAATAAGTCTATATTTTTCATTTTGGTTGATTTCTGTCGCACACTAAACTCTAAAAATTTGTCTACAAAAGTTGCAAATATTTGCAGCTAGTTTTTTCTTTATGTGTTGAGCTATCTCTAACGCACATTTTATACTTGGAAATACCTGCACTTTTTAAACGGAACCCATTGGTGTCAAACTTCTGGAAAAATTGCACGGATGTACTAAAAATATGCCACGGCAGCGCAAAGCGACTGTCAACATTCCTTTCAAATTCAGTTGTTTTTCCAAACGTCAACTATATTGAACTTGGTAGGTCAGAGCCTTCTGTGATTACAGTTACGTCATAGGGCACGCCTAAATTTTAACAAAACTTATGATGACAAATGATAAAAAATATTTTATTGTTTTGAAGTTAAGTAAATGAAAAATGAAATAATGTAAGAAAAAAGAAAATATTGCAAATAGGTAATTTTGGGTTTAAAAGAATATTTTAGCAGAAAAAGTAAAGAGAAATATAATATTTATACTTTATTACTATTTTCGCGGAGATCGTGCCCTCTGAACCACTGTGCGGCGGTGGTAGGAGCGGGCGGTCGTTTGAACATTTTTGTTAATCATTTTTTATAGAGCACCAGATTTCCGCGTTGACTGTTTATATATAAGAACTAAGATCATGAAAAGTCAACCACAAAGGTAAGAGAGAGATAATATCTAGATCATCAGAAAATTAAAGGAACTTAGAACGATAATCAATGTGTCATTAAAGAAAAGTGTGTATACTCTCATTTTTAAGCACCGACCTTCTAAATCATGCAAAAAGCGTGCTGCCATTACTCCTGATCTACTATCTGTCCAGTTTTCATTTGAACAGCCTATTCTAACACTGAATGTTTATTCCTTTTGTCCACCCAATACGAGTATTTCGTCTTCTTTCCATCAAGCCACTATCTGCGCCGCAGGCCAAAAACTCCATCATATAAATATAAACACACATCATAAAGTACCCTCATATCAGAAAGATAGGGGTGGTTTTAGTTTATAGCCTCCGCAATTGAAAATGTATCTTTTCAGTCGCTTTACATTTCATTTCTGGGGATTTTGCTGGATATGATATGTAAAGGAGGCGCTATATCCTTGTTTCGTCTAGATTTCAGAAGTGGCAGTCATAAATAATGTTCGGGGCGCAGCTATTCCTCCTGCGTAGAGACTTATGATCAAGGCGGTTTGAAAGTCGCTTTTATGACTGTACTGAGTCGATAGTTTTCTGCACTTATCATATTTTTAAAGCTCAATTCTGTACCAGACAATGATCTGTTTTCAAACACTGGTAAATTTAAACATACATGTATCATGGAAATTTGCTTGACTTCAATTATTTTTTAATTCCCTCAACCAATTTTGATATGGTTCAACAATTTTTGTTTTAGTGAAGGTTTTGCAAAATGCTCTAATTGTTGTATAATTCAGAAGACTAACAGTATCCGGTACCCTGTGAGAGCATTATCTTCTCATAACGTTCAAACACATAGAGATAATGTTTTTAGTGAAAAAAAAAATTTGTAACGAAGGTGAGATAACTTTAGTTTGACAACCAATCATCACTTTTTAATTCAGTCGCCCAATTTTGTTACGGTACAAGAACTTGTTTTTGAGCAGGTTTTGAAAAATGCTCTAATTTTTGTAGTTCTAAATTCACGAAGTAATCTTGATTATAGTGCGAGGCACGGTCTTTTGTGCGAACTAACTTTCTCGAACGTGAACTTACATTTTCTTTTTATGGTCGACTAAAACTTAACTATATCTTGATAAGTACATTATTGCAACGTTTTTCTTATTTAGCATAATAGTTTTATAACGGTTCTCAATAATATCGAATTTCATTTTTATCATAAAACTCTTCTCTTGGCCTAATAATTCTATGGTAGAAAATCGTACTTGGTGCTATTTACGGTGCTCTTATGAAGGAGTTCAGCGGTCCACAACCTTCGATAGTGATGTAGTTTCACACCCAGTGCTGGGTTTGTCGGGTTGTGGGGACTTTGATAGAAATTGGCCTCCTTTGATGAATATTGTTGTCGGGGCTCTTTTCTCACCCCCCCTTGGAGATTACTGTCTGCATTAACACTTTGAACGATCTATAAGCAGGGCTCACGTCTACGAGGAGCAGTCTTCCATTTCCGTGAACCCTCATTGTTCGAGGGTTCTACCTTCAGGTTCTGATTTACATCTGGGACTTCCTATCTTTGGTAGCCTTTCCTTGGAGAGGCTCCGTATCGGCTATCCCTTCTCTTGTGTGGAATCACTCACACCATTCTGTAATGGCCAAGCATATACCAAGGTAATTTCTTTTTAATTTTAGTTTTTGCTGGAAACCGTTTAGCTGGGGGGTAGTACCAACTAATTTCCTTTTGCTTGCCTCCCAGGACTTCTCTTAAATTGTTTTTTTTATTCAATAAATGTTTGTGTAGCCTGGGAGACCCAACATTTGGCAGTCAGTTCAAGTTTTGATAGGCCGAAAAGCACTACTTGTTATTTCTTTTTCCTAGGTCTTGGAACTAGGTAGCACCCAAACCTCAACCATTTGTATCAAAGACCAAAGTACAAAGAACCACACTCTGAGGTCACATTATCTTCCAACTGATACGTGCAGCTGAGAGTTGATGTTATAGCATCGCTGTGCCTATTGTTCAGTGTAGACTCTTAACTAACGGATATGGAGGTCTCTGTGAAGAGTTTCGACATCTCTTTGTATAATAGGTTGCCTGCAATTTGGAATGGTTATGACCAGTGGCGTGGCTACCTTGGGTGGCACCTGGTGCTGAAGTTGGTAGTGTCACCCCATCAAAAATCAAAGGCAACGAATTTTATATGATTTATAAACGTGATTTGTCATATTTGTATTTATAATATTGCACAAATAACAAAACACAATAAAAACTAAGACAGAAAAAATATTTTGATCTTAAAATTAAAATTTCTTCTTTCTAGCTTTAACAGCTGCAAGCTCAGAAATAACTTTATCCAAATTTATATTTTGCATTGCCTCGTGTTCGATGGCTAATATGCCACGACTGCTTGGCCGCGATTGGGTCATTGTTGCTTGAAAATAGTTTTTTATTAATTTTAGTTTACTGAAACTCCTCTCACATGAAGCTACGCTCACGCAAACCGTCATGAACAATTTTAGTGCAATCATAAGATTTGGAAGAGATTCTGTAAGATCCCATTCCACAATAAAATTTAAAAAAAAACAGAGATATCCAATCAGAAACTGTAACATTAGCGGCTTTTTTAAGTGTCTTCCCAGTCTTGGTATCTCCAAAAGTGATTCTGTTCCTGAGCTGTAGCTAATTTCAGTTCTTCAGTATTCGCCAAAAGAAAAGTATTTCTTTGTCCAATCTCGAACAATGGAGCTAGGTCTTGAAGAGACTTCAATCTTGTTTGGAGTTCAACTCTGAATCGGTTAAGACACTCCAACATATCTTTTTGATGTTCTTCTTTCAGTGCGAGTCCTGCATCACTGGACATCTCACCAACCACCCGTTTTTTACGATAAAGTCGTCTTTCTGTTGGAATATCGTAGTCTTCTGATTTTTTTGTAGTAATATTTTTTGCCTCTTCCACAATGTGATCCCGTTTTACTTCAATATAAAGACGAAGTGCCTCTATTTTTGTAGCAGTTTCGTCATTAGTTAAGCCTTTACTTTGCAATGCAATCTGTGCATTTTTTTATGTTTTTACATTGTTCTTAAAGTTGAGTGACTGGGTAGGTGTCACCCCAAAAAACGTGACACCCGGTGCGGACCGCCCACACCGCCCCCCTTGCTACACCACTGGTTATGACCATTACGTTTTCTCTCTTCTAGTATGATAAATCTATGAATTTGAAAATGACAATCCTCCATATACTCGTACAAGTATTGAGAGTGTCAGACCAAACTCTGGTCGCGCTATCACTTGAACAATTGGAGTTTTAGTACAAGATAAATATCCTTTGACTACATTTACTGTTGACATCCTCGCTTCAGTCAATTCTCTTTGGTTCATCCTTGCCTTCACGATGTCTTCACTTCCCGCTCTCCTCGACGTATTCTTATTCCATTTGAGTATTTAAATTTCAGAAAAGAATTATAAAAGAATGTGAAATCTCATCTGCGCGCCGGCAACTTTTCTCGTTCTTGCGAAACAATCTCCCTACCTTCCCCTCTCGCTTCATCCTCTTTCTTTTCCACTTCTTCAAAGTCATACCAGGAGTGTCGTCCATTGTTTTGCCCCCAGCACCTATGCCGCATTTTTTCCTTTACACAGATAACTTATATAACAATTCCAGCACCAGGTCGGGTGGAAAAAGTTTACTTGTTTCAGTATCGTCTCGACGCTTAGAGATCTTGTAATATTGAGCAATTTGATTGTTATCGGAATTTCTCAAATATTAGATTATTCTTACTATTTGCGATCAAGAACTTGAAAAAAATAGTAATTTCAACTTTACCTTCATTTTTTTCTTTCTCTTTTTCTCTTTCTCCTTTTTTTCAAGTAGTAATCAAAACCGCAGATGATAAAAAACTATTATTGCTTGGACTCGCATAATCCCACGATTTTAATTCATTTAACTACTATATATTTTTATAGCTTTTTAAGCCATTGTCTAAATTGTTAAGCAATGAATTGACAAAATTCGACTGTTGCTCAACTTTATTAGCATATTTTTGATTTTGAGGCGCATCCGACCGGATTTAAAACCACTGTAGGTGGTCTTCATTATTGACCAGAGACATGTATCAGAGGTACAGCTATGTAAAAAGACAGTTATCTGTAGCTCACTAGTATAAGTAAATCCCGCAAGGTTATTACGTACAATGACAAAAAAATCGTTAAAATGTCAATTTGTACACTAGGTAGCCGCTAGTGCGCCGCAAGCTCATTCCGTGCGAAGTACAAGAGCAACATGTAAATGTCACTTGATTCAAATGGGACATCTCATACGATAACCTACATAATGTCAAAAAACCCTTCATCGTGTCAAAAAATTGTCACTTTTCAAGGTACGTAATATGGTTAATCTTCATACTCTTACAAATTTAATTTCATTCTTGTAAAATCATCAACATCCTGCAATTGCTTACCTTCTATCTTTGTAGCAGGTGGTGCTTCTAAAGGTACATCTTCGTCAGCTGGAGCAGTAATCTGGAAAACAATGAACATAAGATACATATTGCTGACTGCTAAATCAAGAGATAGAACAATAATAACGAACCATACTACAGACGTAGCAGGTTATTTCTTTCATTCATTTGAAATGGTGTTCCCTTAAGTTGCCCGAGGAGAGAGATCGAGCACAAAGAGAGAAACCCAACTCGAGCTGCCTCGCTGAGTTTAGAATAACAGGTTACGAGTCAATAATGCCGGCCAAATAACTCATTGTTGCATGAGACCATAATTTGAATTTCAAGTACATCAAAGGTCATTATTGATTGTTATTGTGAATCTACAAAGAACAGCTATTGTAGTCAAAACCTGTACCTCGTTATTGTCACTGTTATTTACAATAATCAAATCCAAGCGAATAACCGAAATTTCTGTTATGTACCGCGGTTATAATATAGTTCAAAATGACACACGAGTTGATGACGCCAGTTACTCGAATCGCTTGAACGCGTTGGTTTTAACCGCGGTTTTGTTGCAAGTTGTAAATTTTAGAAAAGCGGGTATATAATTTCTGACTGTTTTTATTATCACTTAATAATCGGTGCTTTTTCGTCTAGAAGGGTAGTATGAAAAGTCTAATAAGAAACCTTTCATAAGATTGACGGGAGAAATGTTTTTTTTTCCAGAAGATATTGTTCGGGTGTTAAATAACTTGAGAAAATCTCGCATTTAGAACAAGTTTGTCGTGAAAATAAAAGATATGACTCCTAAAATTTTAATGGTGGAACCGTGGCTTTGTAGCTATGATAAGTTTCAATTCTCGAAACTTTTCCGCATCTCAAATAAGACATTTATTGATTTGGCAGAAATGATAAGTCAAAAGTGATGAAAAAAGATATTAGAAAAACCGTATACCGGTGGACATTATCCAGTGAGTTTATATGGCCATACTTTAATATTCTTGTGGTATATGGCTACACAGGATACTTTTGTTAAGTATAGGAACTAGATTTAAAGTGTCCCTAACAACATTAGTGAGTAAAACTAATAAGGTGCTCTACTTTCTGCTACAACTGAAGTCAGCCTGTATCAAGTTTCCCAAAAATGGAGCTGAAGTACAACAAAAATATCCAATACCCGCCAAAATTCTAACTTGTCACATTTCAAATAATAACCAGAAATATAAGACTACTCGGGAGTTGGGTAAATACCACAATTTCACGTTGATAACTATGACATATAACAGCTGACTGATGACGTCACGGATCTTATAACCCAACTGATAACCACGCTCACTTCTCACGTTTTAAGTTTCCCCCACACCGACGCGATACAGCGATAGCGGAAGCGTCAGCTTTAAAAATCTCATTTAGCCGATAACTGCCCCTTCACACCACCGCAGTACGAAAGTTTTCTGATCTGCGCGATATTCTCAAACGTTTTTTGATTTCTTATACGTTACAATATGTCTTCTGATGGAGAAGAACTATTATTATTATTATTGGCCTTTCCAGAAGATAAAAGGCGAAAATGGTAAGGATGATAATCATTAGTAAATAATTATTAATAATTGTGTTTAAGAAAAAAGAAGAACTGGATACATGATATCAATAAACAAAGAAGGATATATATGCCACGAATCATACTTCAATGCCCTAACTACGTAGATATCCACACCGTTTTTACGTATTCTTTCGAATGACTCCCGATCGGTTTGATGAAATCTTAAATTTAATGTGATCCCACACTTTATCCTTTGTCCTGCAACTTTTATAGTCATTGTGACTCAAATCGTACAATATTGGGTACTTCATTTGTTCAATTAATTTCTCCGTTGTGGACATCGTGAAAAACGTGGCGATATGCGATACGAACCGTGTTAGGAGCGTTTCTGAAATGAAACGCTGTCAAGACGATAACCGCGGGCCACCCGTCCGCGCTGGTGTGATCAGTGTTATACTAAGTGACATATAAATCCGAACACCCAGTTTAAATGGTTTTATTTTAATAAAATTTTGTATAAGTACTTAATGAAGCATAATAAGTAAATGATAAAAATTTCAAAATGATTGCACTGCTTTAAAGCCCTTTGACCTTTAATAATGTGTGGATGCACCCAGATGTGCTACGCATTCTCCAACGCGCCTAGGCATGCTTCTGATCAGGTGGTCAATGTCCTCCTGTGGTATCTCATTCCAGGCAACCACCAACTCCTCTCGAAGTGCTTCTAGAGTCTGAGGAGGACGTTGCAAATTGAGCAATCTCCTACCCATCATATCCCACACGTGCTCAATTGGGGATAAGTCGGGAAATCTTGGTGGCCATGGTAACAATGAGACATCATTATGTTGAAAGAAGTCTATTGTGACTCTTGCAACATGTGGTCGGGCATTATCTTGTTGGAAAGTTGGATCTGCCACGGTGTCAAGATAGGGTAAAAGATGGGGTTCTAGAACTTCGTGGATATAACGCTGCGCGTTCATGTTACCTCTGATGAAGATTAAAGGTGACCTGGAACCATAAGCTATAGCACCCCAAACCATAACTCCAACAGTGTGATGAACATGTCTTTCAACAAAATACTGTGGATTCCTCCTTTCACCACGTCGCCTTCTAACCCTGGCACGACCATCGTGCATGCCTAAACAAAATCGAGACTCGTCACTAAAGACAATACTGTTCCATTCCTGATCCCAGAGTGACCGTTGTCTGCACCACTCAAGGCGATTACGTCGGTGTTCTCGAGTTAAAGGGAGGACCCAGTGTGGCCGGTATGAAAACAAGCCAAAACTTCTCATTCGTCGGTAAACACTTCGCATGCCAATAGGTCTTCCGTGTTCTGCAAACCATTCATTTGCAATGGACCTGGTAGTGGAGAAACGGTCCCTTAAGGCCAATAATCTTAGGCGGCGATCTTCACGGTCTGTTGTTCTACGGCGGCGTCCAGTGCCCCTTGCTCTTTGCATACGGCATTCTCGAAGACATGCCTGACAACACCTAACCACAGTGTCTACACTTCTTTGCACTCTAACTGCAATTGCCCGAAAAGAAAGTCCAGCTTCCCGAAGTCCCACTATACGGCCCCTATCAAACTCACTAAGTTGACGAAATCGTACAGGTCTCCGTACTCTAGGCATCGTAACCGATCGTAAAGGATGTCAAGAACCAAAATCCGCCAACGTTGATTCTTTACTGCGGCTGAAATATTCATTTTTAGAGCGTTAGTGAATTAAAAAAAAAGCAGTATAAAAACCGGAATGTCCAACTGATAAGGCTGAAAATTTGTTCACTTGTTATTTACAGTAAGATAAATACATTCACCAACTTTTATTAAAATAAAACCATTTAAACTGGGTGTTCGGATTTATATGTCACTTAGTATATTTACCGTTCTTAAAACTGAGCACCGCATGGACAGTGGTGCGATTATCCCTATCGCCTTACCGCGTCTGTGTTGGGAATCCTTAATTTAGCCTCCGGTCTGTCAGTGCTTTTGAGGGAGGTCAAATGTTCACCTTCATTAGAAGGTGGCCCTCAACCATTAAGATTCCCGTTTCTTGAGTTCATATCTAAAATTTTCTTGAAAATCATCACTTATCTTTGTCTTTATCTTACGCAATATCCTTTTAAGCTGGTGAATGATTTTCTCTCTTTCATAGAGAGAACTCAGTTGAGACATCTTACTCACCCTACTGAAGTAAGTGCAGAGAGGCCCAAAGGCACTCCAGTGAACTCTTATTTTTTGGAGGACTTGGCTTCTCAAGAACTTTTTTATCGCGGTACTTTTCCTCGCTTTTTATGCTCCACTCAAGTATAAAAACTTAAGATCCTGCTTCTTGAAAGTGTACCTATTTGTTTTCACAATAAAACTTAGCTTTTCTGAATGATAAATAGCAGTGAAATCGACTACAAGGTTGCCTACATGATATACGTTTGAGTTCGAAAGTAGTTTTTTCTATATATTTGTGACATAATTTTGACCGACATTTCAACCAAAAAGTCTCTGGTAGCAATGGTGATGTCATTTCTATCGCCAAGTTACATGGAAACAATTTATGGATCAGGTGCATATCATCTTAAAGGAACGTTATCTATATTTCTGTAAACACTTTTTTGCATCATCCAGAATATAAATCAATAAATAATGGTTGACTTGAAGTTGGCCAGACGTCCGCAAAGATTTTAACATGAGTTCAAAGTAACATCGAACCCGATTGGTAGAGTTTCAGGCGCGACTTATTTTAACGTGGTTGTCCATTTTCCATATTCACACTGCAAGAATACTGGAAGCAATGTAACACATTCTAATGTTATAAAAAATTTTCTTTTAATAACAACCTGCAATTTGTTTTGAAGCTGAGGTTACTTGGACTTGGATTAAAAAAAAATAGGACGTCAGAAATTACGTAGTACACCCTACAATCCTAAAATAATTTAACAAAACCGCCCTTAATCTTTACTCGATGGCAAAATTATGCTTATTCTAAAAGGGCATTTTTTTGTTTTCAACCTCTGTGACAATTCCTCAGAATTATTAGTATCAAGTCGGTACTTCGATAATAGACAGTGATATACTTTTATAATGCTGTGTCATGTTCAAATGATTCAATTCTATCACTCATAGCAGGGATATTTGAGATATACAAAAGATAGACCAATGGACTAAGAACACTCATCTGAAGTACTCCAGTATAGATATTCAGTAGAATAAAATATTTTTATACTTGGGTCGAATTGTCCTTTTCGAGACATAGGACCCTTTGTAATATCGATTTATTGTCTTGGAAATGCAATGCCTATTTTATTGATCAGTTCTTCAGGTGGGATTATATCTAAATGAAATTTGAGAGATATTAAGAATATCCACTGGCGGAATCTAAACTTGCAGCTCTGTGAAGCTGGGACAGCAATTCTGATGGTCTATAGCGCCACCTGTCACTGGGTTTGTTCTTACAAATTAATGTGTTTATCCAAAACTCTAATCTGCAATCGAAATTCTGTACTTTCAAGGTCTCTAGCAGAAATTAAGGCAACGCGTTATACTGAGTTCGAATAAAAATAGAAGTATGACGTCGAGAGGTAACTAGTACAGCCTAAAACACTAAATTATCTAATAAAGCCGACGTTAATCCTTGCTCGATGGCAAAATTATGCTTATTACAAAAGAGATGAGCGTAACGGTAACCCTTCTGTACATGGATATCATCCCCCTTCCTCATAAATCGGCCTGAGAGTTTCGCTCTTTTCGGTTGGCTCTTCCTCATGCTGCTCATAATTAACATTCGGTGTACCTCCATTAGTGTAATTAAAGTGTCGTTCCAGAACCTACACTCCTTATCTTATCACAGGGGCTCCTTCTGATGCTGAAGCCTTACTGGCTTGATACGCCACCGGCATCATGGCCTTATGCCGTTGATTGGTACAGTGTGGGCGTTATTAAAAATGATACTCCATATCCTGTGACTTGCATCAATCGAATAGTAATAGCCCAGACATACCAGAAAGAGACATTATATAAAAATTTAGAGTGGGGTATAAATTCTACTGTGTGGAGATGACCAGTCACCTTTTTACTATCTAGCTGTCCAGTAGAAGACCTGAAGGAGATGTATCAATCGATCAATAAGAACGCAATATTGAACTTTTGGCAGTCATAATGTCATAACGATTGTGACATGACAGATCGACAGGCAGGAGTTTATGAAAAAGAAACATTACACAATAGAACAGCGTATCCTAATTGTTAAAAACTATTACCAAAGTGGTGAAAGTTTAATTGCCACGATTCGAAAAGTGCAGCTAATATAATATTATAATGTTCCTACCCCATCCACAGTGAAAAGAATAATCCAAAAATTTGAAAGTACTGGTTCTTTTAATAACGCGAAATTTGAGGAAGACTGAAAACGTCAGAGCAGTTCGCGGAAATGTAGTCGAGAGTCCAGGACGTCGATTTGTCATCGCGCTCAAGAATTGGACATTCAGACAGCCACTTTCCAGCGTATTGTAACGGAAGATTTACACTTGCATACCTACAAAGTCTAATTGACTCAACAGCTTATGCCAACCGACCATACACAGCGAAGAGAGTTTAGCAATTGGATCCTTGGCCAGCAGTATGTGAATGGTGATTTTGCAGACAAAATTATTTTTTGCGATGAGGCCCATTTTCATCTCGATGGCTTCGTCAATAGACAAAACTGCCGCATTTGGGGCACAGAGGATCCAAGAGTAACTCATGAGAACGCTATGCATCCAAACCGTGTCAAAGTATCACTGTTTGGTGTGCACTATGGTCTGGAGGAATTTTTTTTTCTTTGAGGTCGAGGCCGGTAATCCACTAGCAGTGAATGGCAAACGTTATCGTGCAATTATTACTCAGATGTTTGTGCCACAATTAGAAGTCAAGGCTCTTAATGACATATGGTTTCAGCAGTATGGTGCCATATGCCATACTGCTTATGAAACATTGGCAGTTTTGCACGAGTTTGCTCCTGGTCGAGTCATCTCCCTGTTTGGTGACTAGAATTGGCCGCCACGATCTTGCGATTTAACACCTTTGGACTTTTGGCTTTGGGGTTATCTGAAGTCATTAAGAGCTGAAATCAGACGCTGTATCAACCAGACACCCCGACATGTGTGCAAAAATGTTACTGTGTCAGCCATTTACCTGAGGGGTTGTTTCATACATAATTCCAAAGTGTATATACCATAATTCAATAAATATTTTAGGTGTTTGTTACGAAATACCATCTTTAATAGAACCTTGGAATATTGTGTCCTTATTGGAACACCCTCTATGTATGCTTAGCTCATTCGCATGTATGCATATTCAGAACCATGGAGTTGGCAGTTGCATATTCAGCACAGTGGTCGGACTTTCTCACCTTTATTAGGAGACCAGGAAGATTCGACAGACAAAAGAATAAGCATGTGGAGTAGCGTTTTGATACATTCGAGGTCGCCAAAAAGTGTCAAAGGTGGCTTAATTGCACAGGCTGCGCCTTCCAACCACTACTATTATCACTAGTAGTACAGCTACAATTACTACTACAATTACTACTGACACCTGGACATCGTAAGAATCACACAAACACAAACGGATGTCTGAAGACAAAACTCACCCCGTTGAAGCGATCTTTGAGCTAAAATACAGTGAGAGAAAATATGATCGAGGCAAAGACTAAAGATTCAATTTTTTGGCCCAGATATTCAAAAACCCACGAAAGATACGGAATCTTAAGTGGACCATGAAATGAAAGGGACTAACGATCCATTCGTGAAAGCTGAAAGCGGCCCGGTCTTTTAGGAAAACAGCGAATTTGACTTGATATGCTAAACACAAACTTTTAGAAAGTTGTGACAGAGTATGCTTAAAATACAGTTTTTGCAATTTCACTAAGCAGGATACCATAAACTCTAGAGGATGTTAAAATAACTGCCAACTATTATTTGATATTAAAGAAGAACATACACACATTGGAGCATGCACGATTTTATAAAGTAATTTAGACGTAAGATGCAAGATGTTTTTTCTAACATGCTCTACTATATTTTCACAATTTGAAATATTTCACTCTTCTAGGAGTATAGTAAGTTCAATTGGAATATGTTTGTCTTTGGAGTAGGTACAAGCAATTTAGGAATGACCCAAAATCAACAGTTTTTGCGATATTTTTCATAAGATCAGTTTTTGAAATAAAAACAAGGAGCTGCTTTTTCCATTTTGCTTCACAATTTCTAGAAAACCCACAAGGAACATTCTGTTGTATGCCAAGGTATTTGGTTGGAAGTATTTTAATATATTACTTACCTATTTTTCTCCATATACGAGCCCCTTCCCACTTCAGTTTGCCCAACTATTGAAATCTTAGTATTTTTCTTATCAAACACAAATAATAAAAATGTAGCAGGGTGTTATAGGTTTAAAATATTAACAATTAATATTTTGATAATATATAGTAGAAAACACCAACTTTATCACTCCCTAATCAAATTTGCAGCATAAAAATAACATATGTTGCAGTTACAGCATATCAACCTATTCTCATTTCAATGCAAAATGAGTCTATAACGCATCGGTGGCTGTGGAAAATAAAAGCCATGACAATTGTTTTTATTAATCACAGCTATCTGAATACGTTTAACATAGTTTTGAGTAGTTAAGGTTTTCAAAATGGATAGAGGAAAGGTTATTAGTGAGAAAATTCGGTTACTGTTAATTAAATTTTTTAATTCTGGGAATCAAACTCAGAAATTGCAACTTTGTTAGACTTGTCGCGGTACAGTGTGAGAAATATTGTTAGAAGATATAACGTAACTGGTTCAGTTAATATTAAGCCACGATATGTGAAAAAAAGTAATATCACAAATGCCGACCGAAGAGCTTTAAGAAGAATAATCGTGAAAAACCGTTATGGTCTGGGGCAGTATGTCATCAAAAGGAGTAGGAAAACTTCATTTTATTGATGGAAATGTGGATACAAACAAATATCTGGCAATTTTAGAAGAATCGCTTTTACCAGTGATGGAAGAATGTTTGACATCCGGCCAAGATTTTGTGTTTCAGCAAGATGGTGCAGCGTGCCATACCTTAAAAAAGGCAATAAAATGGATGGACGAAATTAATGTACCACTTTTGAAATGGGTTACTAGCAGTCCAGATCTGTCACCTATTGAATCTTTGTGGCACGAGATGGAAAAGGTTTTACGACAACATCCTGCTCGTACAATCACGGAACGGAGACAAAAGCTTCAAGAAATATGGGATTGTTTTAGACCAAATTTTTTCCAAAACTCATGTTTAGTTTATAAAGGCATGTTTTGGTACAAATCTTGAAGTTGGTCAACTGAAGTGGGAAGGGGCTCGTAGTCTCTTCTGACCTTCAATTTTGGCACCTAAAGCTTGACTTGCTCGGACAATATCGTCGGGTTACTGCCAAAATAAGATAAGAACATTATTTCATTTTTGGGTTAAGTATATATTTCTCTATTTAAAATGGTATTATCTGTGTTCTGGAAAAAC